ATTACACCGTGGTTGCGAAATATAAAATCGATGTCTTAGTTTCTCAAACTCGTATTTTATAAAGAGTGATTATGCAGAAGATGGCAAAGCTTTCTATTTATTTTAAATTTATTATCAAGAGTGTTAATTTGGATGCTTACTTTAAGAATAGGTAAAAGTCAGTGTGTGAATATGAGGGAAATGTGATGTGTAATCAGTCTGTAAAATTTGTATATACAACATTGACTTAGAAATAAATGGACGACGGGTCTAATACAAAAACCACGAAAAAAATGTCCCAAGTTAACCTATTTAAACGTAGTGACATGTAAAGGAATATGAAAAAGCTAAAACGTTGAATTTAAATTGTAATACCATCGCAGTACTGTCTAATTTTGCTTGCTTCGCTGTCAGTCGTACAAACGAAGACTAAAGCGTGAATTACGCTCTGTATTCGATTTTAACGCCCTATATGTTCGGACACTTTTTAGCGCGGACCATATAATTGTAAGTCAATGATATACAATCAATTTTTTGCATTTCAGTAACTTTGTGCTTGAATATACGTGTTTGAGACAGTAAGGCGACGAAATAAGATTTCGTTTTCATTATTAAATTACGACTACTATTTCAGAATAGTACACAGTTTGCTAATCAAGATTTGAAATGGAATTTAACGACATTTACTCCCACTCATGTATTTGAGGATTCAAGAGATCCTGTAGCTCAGACTGAAAGAGTGGAATCTAAATCACCAGGGGAAGCAACATCTCAAGGGAAACAAAACAAACCAGAGAAACTAGATCTGGGTTCGAATCCAACGAACGCGTTGGTATGTCGAGATGGGAAAGATCAAGTAAGTATTGATTTGATAAAAAGGAGCAAGATACAAGTGGTATGCTGTAAGATCAGGTACGAATCTTTCAAGATTTAAAGTTAGTCCAGATCCAGATTATAATACGAGTATCTTTAATGAACGGTAATCTGTATTTCTTCAGAAGGGAATAAGTAACAATGTGGTTCTACAGCGAAACATTTTGTTTTAATTAAAACTATTGTTGGTTTATTTTTCGAAATATTTCAAATACTTAGTGTAAATTTTTGTAAATTAAAAAAAATAAAAAATTCCCAAAAAAATGGAAAAATATAATTTCGAAGGCTCATATTATGTTCTTCGTTCAGAAATATCTTTAAAAATATTATTTGGTGTGAATTATAAAATAAACTTGTACAGCTAAAAGTTGTTTAGAGAAAAACGAGAAATAAAATGATTGTACAACAGCGAAAAAAACCTTTTTAATGGCTCCATTCGTTCAGTAACTTCAATTTTTGACAGGTGTCAACGTCACATGTGGAAAATTAAAAGTAAATGTCCGGATTTTTTTTATTTTTATTACAAACATTATTTCTTGAAAATGGACGTTTTCCATGATCCAACACTAATTGAAACTAACCTTCATGACAAGTTTTCGGCGCCTAACAAAGAAATGCTTTTTTATTGCAGTACAGAGAAATAATATATACCTCTTTCTTACGAGAACCAAGCTACATAGGTATAGGTTCTTTTTAAATGTCAAATATATCTTTTTTATTAATATAAATTACAAGGTTTATAGTATTTGTAATGTATTGCAAAATTGTAATTTTAGGATACCTTACATCACCCTAAACTGAATTCACCATGGTCGAACGGAACAACACTTGCTAATCAAAGCACTGACTTGACAATGGACAAGCACAAAACAGAGATTTCAAGGCGTTCAGCTGGACAAGCAGTACCTAACCAAATGGCACAATGGGAACAAACTGCGCCAGGAGCACTTACTGCATGGCGACAAACCGGTCAAAGTGGACAAGCAGCATTGACGCAAATGGGATCATGGCAACAACCCGTCCAACGCGGACAAACAGGAATGAGACAAATGGGATCATGGGGACAATCACCTCAAAACAGACAAACGGCCTCGTGGGGTCAATCAGCACAAAATGGGCAAGGAGCTGGACAAATGCAATGGAGACAAAATGGAAATTGGGGTCAAACCGCTCAAAATGGACAAGCAGCAGTATGGGCTCCAAGGGCCCAACAATCTGGTTCTGTAATGGTAAGATTGAAGAAAGAATACTAAGAGATAGAAAAATATTTCGAAAATGTTCCAAACCTCTTTGCCCGGAAATGGCAACATTAAGATAAAAAATCTATTATTGAATCTTTGACTTCCGGAAATTCGTCTAACATATTTCAAACTTTGTGTATAAGCTTGCACCAGTGAGTTGAAATTCGATAAAACAAATTTATTCAGTAATTAAATTTTAAAAAGGAACAAAAGATTACTTGCAATTTCAAATTTATTTTGTACGAATTTGAACTCTCAAGACACAGACAAAAGTTTTGATGATGAGAAATGCTTTTGTTTTGAACGTATATTAAGAATAAGTCTTTAGTTCTCAGCAAAAGTTATGTCAGATTTTAACCCTCCCCGTGCAGCTGAGTTAGTGGCAATTAGTCTTTATTTTTTTACCATTGTTTTAAATTATTTTAAAAGAAAGAACTTCTAAAGATAAAATTTATATTAATAGTCAATTGTAGTGTTGTCATTTCAAAGACGAATAGTATTTTTTTTGTTTCTGATTACGCTTCTTGATTTCTAATTTTAAAAATCATATTTCGGGTTTGCGTGCATTATTATTTTATAGGATTTGTCATCTGGGCAATCTTCTAAAGCGCACAAAATGAGACATGATGACTACGCGAAAATATTTCGACGATGGGAAAATGTAAGTTGAAAAGGGAGTAGCCAAGGGGCTACGTTATCCAACGTATTAGAATAGGAAGGAAGTACACTGCTAACATTTTGGGCATGTTGTAGTGGAGCATTTTGGACACACTGTCGCGGAGAATTTTGGACACACTGTTGCGGAACATTTTGGACACTCCGTACCGGAAACCCAATTTCAGTCAATTAAATGTTAGTCCTGCAAAGATGCTGACCTCCATCATCGTCATCCCACTTGACTCGTTCTCGAATTACCTTTTAATACACTATTTTTACATTACTTCTATTCGACATCACTCCAAACAAAATTCTGGAAACAAGAGGACGTGCTTATAAATCGGGTGCGCCTCACTTATACGAAAATTAAATAAATAAATAAAAAACGCACACACTCAACATAAAACAATAAACTAATTTCAAAACAAACACCGTACATTTAACATAATTTTTATTTGGACCAATTTCACTTCCACAAGAATTATATGAATAATTCTTGTTTGATATAACATTCACATTTTATAATTTTTTTTCATATAAAGCTTATATTATATAATAATCATTTCATATATTATCAATTTAGATCATTTTTACGTGGAATACTAACACTTTACATAAATAATAAGTTTAAACCCGACTCGCCATGGTACTTGTCTGTTCGATACTAGGAGAGTAATTTAAAAGTGAGAGGTGCGGAGGGAGAATTGTTTTCCTTAATATATACTCCCGGACACGTAAATCGAGCCAACTTGCATTTTTATTGTTAAAAGGCTGAATACAAAAGTATTATTATCACTGAAGAAAACAGTTTTTCCCGGTTTTATAAATTCAAATTTTCAAGAAGGACTCATGGAAATGACGTTTAGTATACCAATTTCAAAACAGCTTAGTAGTTTTCGATCAATCAAACATTGTTTAAGCTTATGCCAATTAATCTGAAAATGCAAGGTGGCTCGACTTACGTGTCCGGAAGTGTAGTTTAGAATGCTGAAATTTTATTTTGGCAAAATTGATAATGATGGTGATGATAAAAGAAACGTTATTTACATAGGTTTTATGGTTGTGGTTATCATTCAGTAGGTTAGAAGATGAAAAAGCAGCACGAGCCGAGCAAGCGTGCCGCGGCACTTCTTTTTCTCTTTTTACGCTAAATTATGTGGACCGAGTCTTTATTCTTATTTCGCTATGGCTTGACCACAAGCCTTTATATATAAACAAATTGGAATTTAACTTAAAAAAATGTCGAGATGGTGACAGATTAATTAGCATCGTTACACGATGTCGGCCAATGTGAACTTTGCAAACTATTTTAAAATACTGTGACCTAATTTGAGAATCGCATAGAACAGGAAATAAGCAATTACTGGACGACTATTAGTTTGAAAGATTTAAGTCTATGTTAAAAATATTTCAATTTCATTGTACAATTCCACAGAATCCTTATGTAAGTGTTTCAAATACGTAATATTTTTTAAATGTATTAAATGTGTTAAAATCTTTCTGTCAAAAGCTATGTATGTATTGGAATAATCACGCAAAGGGGAAATGCTACCTGCATTTTTACTTTCAATTTCACCCAATTACTACTATAGTAATAGCCATTTGTATTTTATAAATAAATTCTGAATCCATGAAGTATAATATTATGATAAGTGGAATAAATAAAATTTACATTCTGGCCATTGACTTACAAATAAATGGACGACGGGTCTAATACAAAAACCACGAAAAAAATGTCCCAAGTCAACCTATTCGAAATTTAAATTGTAATGTCATCGCAGTATCGCGCTGTCAGTAGAACAAATGAAGACTAAAGCGGAGTTTGGCGCTCTGTATACGATTTTAGCGCCTTACAAGTGCGGACACTTTTTAGCGCGGACCCGACGTCCATATAATTGTAAGTCAATGATTCTGGCAGTCACTGTGTATTCTAAATACACGAAATTACGATAAAGTGATACGCAATTGAAATTTGAAAATGGAAATGCTGGCGCCTTCAAATTAGATGCGTATAAAAGCGCTACAGTACTACCTCTGTGGCGCTGTTTTTATAATATTTTTACAATTTTCATACAATATTTAGAGGCGTAGTTGCAGAGCCACAGTTGTGAGCGGTTGCGCTACTTTTGCGGTTACAATTAGTGAACTGGAAATTACAGACGGCTGCCGCGTCCACAGAACAATAAATACCTACAATAGAAGTGCTTTGTTTGTGTGGCACGCGTGCAAACAGTTCGAGGAGTTTTGCAAATTTTGAGCTCAGTCTGCCATTTTCGCTTTGTACGTTATGGTGCATCATGTCAATTATCTCCCGCAAAACCTCGAAAATCGTGGAAAAATGCCGCTTTTTATTTGGAGAACTAAGTAAATATCCGAATGAATTCGTTGTCGTTTACCTGTGAACCGCTAGATGGCACCATGATTGAAATTTCAATATAGAATAAAACCGTCGTAGCTGGCAATAATAGATATTGATGGTATTGCACTTTCAACGACATGCCAACAGGGTAAAGTTTAAATTATATTAACAATCCAAAATTTATATTTCAAACTACGATCTTTCATTATCAAGATATTATCATTGTGTTTCAAATGATGAATGTGTTTTGTAATAGAGGCTTAAGGCGCTTCCATTGCTTTATTCTTCCGTGGCCGCACCACAGCCGCGCCAGTGCAGCGCTCTTACAAGCGTCTAATTTGAAGGTGACCTAACTCCTTGCTTATTTAATTTTATTCTAGGCTGACGCTCAGCCGTTTTACAACCCCTATCCCGCCGGCCGTCGCTCAGGTACTGGCTATTTGTATGTAAGTAACAAGTCATTTTGTCTCATCGCCCGTTCTCAGTAGACAACATTAAACATGGCTACTCTTCTTCTTGGCGTGTCGTCTCTGACGTTTATATTTGTGAGGACCAGTACTTAGCGAGTGAGATAGCATTATCAGCGGCGTTGTACAGGCCTTCGCATGTGCAGGTTTAGGGACACGCACGGCAGGACAAAAGATGTGCGGACATGCGCTCTCCGAGCTGTAACCCAACCAAGCAAGCACACCTTGCTTAGGCCGACTTGGGTCCGCAGCCTATTTAGGGACTTCCAAGTTTGCCGAGGTAGATCTTGCCCAGGAGGTGTTCCGACAGCGGGATGAGTGAGGCCGTGGGGCATCTCTTTTCCAGAGACTTATTCGGGCCTGCTTAGTGTCCCCGACCAGAGGTTATACTTCTTTAATGAAGCTATGGCGACTCTTTAGCCTCTGGATTACCGGCATGTGATGGTGTAATGGGTATCGCGGGTCAGTCTCTTTTTTTAAGAGTTCCAGGGAGCTAGCAACGTCTCTACGGACGTCCGATGGGGCAACACCAGCCAACGGGTACAGCATACTTACAGGGGTTGGTTTCAGACAGCCAGTAATAATTCGATATGTGTCATTTAGTGCTGTATTCACTAGGTGCGTGTGTGCTGAACGACTCCAGACTGGGCTGGCGTATTCGCCAGCCGAAATTGAAAGGAACATGGCTACTGAACAAGATTCTTCCATTTTGTTTTAAAAACTAAATAATACAAATATATAATTTTTATCGCATGCGGTATAGAGTTGAATTTAAATCCTAAGTATCAAGCTTTATGTACTCTTAACCTTGTACCATAGTAAATACTGTAAATAATTTCAATTACAGCTTTATAATTATATTTCTATAAGAATAAAAATAATTTATTTAATTTTTTGTTTATTTAGGACTTTCTATACAAAATGAAACAAAAGTATCCGAATTTTGATCCAGAAAACCCCTATGTAAGTATTAGTTTTATTGCCCAGACAATAGAACTAAAACATTTTATTAAGGGTTTAAAGGAAGTTGTAATTAACTTTTCGTTTACAAGGTAAGTCACGTTAGTTCAAAAAATTGTAATTCTAATTCCATAAATACAAGGTGGCATTTATTACTTCACGATATTTAGAGCACGTTTATTTGACAATAATTTCATCGCGCTCACGCCCCGCGGTCGCCGTGTGGCCGCTGCGCATCGACCGCGTGCATCTAACTGTCATAGCAAAATACGTTCTATTTATTTAGTTTTTTAAGGTTGGTTTGTCTTTAATCTAGGCGGCGGGTGCGCGGCGTTGTATTATTCCAATGAATTTAAATATTGTTGGCTAGTGAATAGAATTCACATTCGCCATTAATATACGTGAAAGCGTAGCGACTGGGCGGTCGCTGGGCGCTTGAGTGTATACGTTAGATTAATACGAACAATTTCAATAGTATCGTAATTGCATTGTAATTTTAGTGGAGCGTTAATGGAATTACAATGATCAGTGGTTTTAATAAAATTAGCAGACTTAGGACCCTGAGCGGTAATTGTAAGCGGTAATTGTGAAGAAGAAGAAGAGCTTACTCAGTGAAAAGATCCAAATCAAAAGTATTCATGCCACACAAACTCGTTTTGTCTGTACATAGCTCGGGCCAAGGTTAAGAACCAAATGTGAATTGTTTCTAAGATATTTAGAGGGAACTCTCAGTGAGAATAGTGATAGGGATTCCGGACAGTCAATAGAGCCCGATGCTATTTTTAATAAAAACTTGAAGTCACCAGTATTACGACGAATTTCGAGTGTTACGAGATGAAGCCTCCTACATTCTGGATATTACTGAAATTGTGTAATTGTTAGCAACTTTTGTACATCAGCGGATGATTATATTCTAGTTTCACTTTTAGTTTCAAGTAACGTACATAAATTGACATTTCTGTCGCAGGGTGCAGCTTATGATAATCGAGGTCATTTTCCACCTCAATATCCGAATGAAGCCGAAGTAGTGCCGGTGTGTATTAAATCAACCGCCATACATATTATGGCAGATATAACATCCAAGACTGTATTTCTCGTTACCATGTATTGTTTAATTCCGCGTTTCCTAATAATAAGTCCTTATGCTCCGACTGGCAGGACCAAAAAGATAAATATGTGCTCGTGCTCCTACTAATGTATCGTCACCTATATTGATATGTAATTGCTAATGTAGTATTCGTATGTATGTTATTTAACCAAGCAATGTGTCGTGGCAGTCTAATAGTTTGGCCATCCGCCTCTCATGAGTTTTTCGGTAAAGTAAAACATCGTTATGAGACCTGCACGTCGAAGAAGGTTCACAACCTTAGGAGACCGTGTGAAGCTCCCAACCCACATTGGATCAGCGTGGCGGACTATGTCCTAAAAATCCTCGCCTGAGCGGACTTCGGTGGGATGTATAAATGGCTTCATGTTGTAGTTGTTTGTTGCAGTTAGTAAATACCTAGCCGACGATGTCATCAAAATTTTGTTACTTTAAAAAGAGTACTTTAAGTGCGCCTCTCCCGTGATTTGCGGGATCTGGAGAAAAGGGAAACTCAATCGACCAATAAACGTTCCTTTTCCGTGGTATAACAAGAGAAATAGGGCAACTCCTGCCTGTTCGGCGTGTTAATGCCTACACGTCTCTCGGGGCGAAGGGTTGTCACATCATGATTTTAGTTGTACCTACAGGTTGTAAATATAATTTGAAAATAATCTCAGTACAGACTACTAAAAAACTGACCTCAAAAGTAATTCATCCCCTAGCTTGCCACCCTTAGAGGTAGAACAGTTTCTTTAAACTTAAATAGTACCACTTCTGAGACACCTTCTTTCCAACAAAAAAGACTCATCAAAATCGGTTCACAAATGCCGAGGTGTCGTATAACATAAATATAAAAAAATAACATCCTCCTTTTTTTAAAGTCGGTTAAATAATGTATTCGTCCCTGTATTCTCGTGCTATGTTGAAATAACTTTTGTCAAATGCAGCACTTACATATTGATATTTTTATATCAGCTTTGTGGATTGGTATCTCGATAGTCTCAGTACAGAGTACTAAAAAAACCGACCTCAAATGTACCTGGAATTACATATAATTACCAAGTTTTATTGAAATCGGTTACCGGAAAGTGCGCAAACCTGCATTCATCCCTTAGTTCGCCACTATATGGGACTTGACACGGGAGATAATAAAAAAGTGAAACAATTGACGGGTGTCGTCAATTGTTTCACTCAAATCGACCAGTTTATTGAGTTTTGCTATAATGGACGAAAATTGGAAAATTACATAATCTAGTTACCGATGAAATGTGATTTCATTTGTTTTGTAATTAGATGTTTTGGAGTTTTTCCCACACCACCGAATGGCTGTTCCATCATCGTTAGAGATATTTATTTAGTTATCTTTATTTCAATAAATACAGAATATTTTTGGAATATACGGAGACACACAGGTCGGTTGTTGGCGCTGTACTATTTCAGCTTTCTAATTTGTGATTTCAGTGCAAACGAGAGTTGATATTTAAAAGTGATATAAGGCCCATTTGCCTGACGAGTTGCCAGTGATGGGTGGCCCTTATTTCGTATTTATTTCTGATTATATACTCGATGTTTGATAGTTTGTTCTGAAATTTACACATAAAATAAAAACTTTTGCTGTTGTGCTTGTTGTTGTTGGGGAATTAAATAAATCACAACGATTCATCATTCCTGTGGCGACAATACAAAAGTTTTCATTTTACTAATAAACAAACAACAAAAAAATATTTAGGTGCCATTTTCGCAGTTATTGATTATCAGCATCCATCTGATGTATTTTTTTAAGCACCGGGCGAACACTTCAATTCTATAATGAAAGGAGCGTGAGACGACTCGTGCTAGGCAACACGAGTGCACCGCGAGATTGCGAATGTATGCGTCGATATAATCGTCGCTTAAATGCTAAACCGACGCATCACAAAAATTACAAACGTGATTTTATTGCAAAAATGTGTTTAAAAACGGTCAAACTTTAATACAGCTCGAAGACACGTAGCGATTTGACATTATAAACACCGGAATTACGCAAATGCCTGTTTGGCATTCTGCACTTTCGTGGCTAACTTTTGAGCTAAACAGTCCTTTTGTAAGTTATGTCTATAGGAAATGAAACTATTTTTCCGGATTTAAACTGTTGACTGTCAACCGTGACCATGGGACCTGTAAAGGGCCCGAAACGTCGGTTTGTTTGAAAAAACAAATATACGCGATTTAAATCCGGAAAAATAGTTTCATTTCCTATGTGTAACAATCGCGAAAACCTAAGAACTAGTTATGTCTATGTTTACAAATTTATGGAGTCTTAAAATACGAATCTTTTCGCGTTCACACATACATATGCCACGTTATTATGTACATCTGTATGGAGTTACATTACTTGTCTTGTTATACTACGGTAATAATATAGATAAAGTGTTAGGTGACCAGTGGTAGGAAACTGTCTGTGTAGAAGCTGCCTGAGTTGGTTCCACAACCTTACCTATTTCTACCCAAAGCAAACCGTTGTGATCCGGATTGAAGGATAGGTAGAGTCACCTCAATTACAGGTGGCTCCAAATTCTTACTTAGTATCACAATGTTTAAAGTAGCCGTTTACTTTTGGACTTGAAATTAATTGGCGATCTTCGAAGGAGGCCTATGTACGGTATTGGACGTCTTTCGGCTGAAGTGATGGTGATGATGATGCTATGTAATCAAGTAGATACTATTGTTGCAGATTAGGGGACAACTTATGGTTCTTCCGGAAAAACCGGTACGTTTACAAAAGTAGTATAAAATTATCGAGTCTCAAAACATTGAAGGACGTTGATAGAATTAAGCAAGATGACCGCCCAAATATCTGCGACTCGCAAAAGGCTCAAATACGGAATCTTGAATGATTACTACAGCTTTAGATGAATGAATAATCAATAGTCAGGGGGCTATAGATAGACGCGATAGCGATAGTGTGTAAAGGGTTACACAGTCATTTTATCGCGCGGGATCAGGTGCGTACAGGATGCCTACCACAACCTCTTCAAGCAATGTTACTTTAACCTTACATTGACTTTTCGTACCATGACGCGCTTAAAGTGAGCTTATTATAATGTTAAAACTATGATGCTTGTGACTATTCATTCACTTAGTTCATACTATGACGCGACTTTAACATTAAAGTAATATTGTTCTTATGTCGAATTTAGCAATCTTAAAATAGTTACTCAGACGCAGTGGAAACAATATTATTTTGACTCAAATTAATTATAATGATTAAAAGTTAAGTTGAACTTATTTATTTACATAAATCTCTTCATTTTATTTATTTTTTTATTTAATAGTACACAGGAAATAATTTCTCTTTAAATAAAAACACGCGACGTTTATTTCGTAAAATTATAAAACTAGACTGTAATTCCGAATTCACAATGTAACTATTTATTTTATAACTATTGTTTTATTTAGTTTTCTTCATAAAAATGCGGAAAAATAATTGAAAACAAAGTAATTTTAATAGATTTTATTATTACATACTTTTCTTTTTTAACAGTTCAAATTCTCTGAATGTAAATAACATTAAGCACTTAAACATTATACATACTACGATAAGACGATTCAGAACATTAAAAAAGAAAGAGATGGCATTATATAATTCATATAGCGTTTTATTTATATAATTCATATGTAACTGCCTCCGTGGCCGAACGGTTACCATGCCGGACTGCGACGCAGAGGTCCCAGGTTCGATTCCCGGGCCTGGAGAAATATTTGTATGGCCTACATTTATTTCTCTCATGAGTTTGGGTGTAATTTGTGGTTATCTATGTGTGTGTCCATGGTACCCGCGACACAGGGTTTCCCTAGTGCGGGCCTATGTTGAGTGTGTGCGTTATTATTTATTTTCTATTTTTAGTAAGGAATAGACAATATTGGTAAATCATTCGTTCTTTCAATCACTTTATCAATACATTACTTGGTTGACAAATTTGTCATGGTACGAATATGAGTAAGCTTAGTATGAGTAAGTAATAAGCTTATTTTAAGCTTACATTTAAATAAGATTGTTTTTGGAAAGGTTGTGGTAGGCAACTTGGATTGCGCGCGGGAAAGCTTGCACGCGCATTCATGTGCGATTACCTGTTTGAAGTTTTTTAAACTAACGTTCGTTATTGTTATTGGAAAGGCTAATCGCGCAGGATAGACAGGAGTGCAGGAGTGCCTAATTGTGCGCGCGACTGATGACCACAATCACGCGGTCTTTACCTTTTTCTTCCAACATCTTTACACGTACTCAATTGCTCACGATTGCTGTATCACGCGCGATAGATTGTCTGTATAAAGCCCGGTATTGAATGTTGAATTGCGAACGAATGATGAATTAATGAATGATATTGATTTGCCTATAATATTGGTTTACCAAAAGTGGTACACGTATGTATAATTCGACAGGCTTCATATTTTATCAAAGTTATTCATGTACATTTATTAACTTTTGAGATATTTGCACCTAAAGATCTTTTTCTTTAAAAAATGTCAGTTAAGCTGATTTTACTTAACAATAAATCTGTAAATTCAACTTCGCTAAAAATGTGGATTACGTTATTTATGATTAGCAGGGTAGTATGGTCATATACATTTTAAATATTAAACAATTGTCAAGGAATTTTAATAATATTAACAGAGTCATTAACATGCTATAATAGGACGTTATTGTCATGTTATGAAGAAATAGTCATGTAATGGAAAATATATTGAAGCTCAAATAAGCAGTTAAATTTTTTGAGATTTACGTTATATAAAGAAGATTTTAATGAAGTAGAAAATGTGTATTTCTTAGTCGTGAGATCATGTACGTTTAAATTGAAGATTATTATTGATCACTTTTCACACACATAATTCCGGTTTGTTTCTGGTAGATAATTAATTTGGCACTACTGTATTTTATTGCAAAAAAAAAATACAACAGAAAAATTAATTATAGAAAAGGTGAGCAAATTAGACTTATCTCTAAAAGAAATCTCTTCTACACTCAGAGAACAAAGGTCATAAGCGGGCAACACTGTGGAAGAGAGAAAGAGGGAGAAAAAGAATAAACTTTACAGTTATAACTGCCTCCGTCACCGAATGGTTACCATACTGGTCTGCTACGCAGAGGTCTCCCGGGCCGGAAGAAGTAATTGTATGGTTTACATTTATTTCTCACCTATGTGTGTGTCCATGGCACCAGCGATACATGGTTTCCCTAGCGCGGGGCTATGAGTGTGTGCGTTATTATTATATAAGTAAATAAAAGAACCAACCCTTACATAAATATTAAACACATAAAATATTTAATGTACAATAAATAACGTAAATATATTATAAATATATGTATAATACGAAGAGAGTTGAGCGAGAAAGGGCGCTAACAACCTTTTCTTGAAGAAAACTTACCTGGATTCCTTACATTTCTATTGCAAATTTTACGTGTATTTTAAAAAAGAAGTCATTTTGACGGTTCCGGTAACCAAAAGGCAGCTACATCCGTCAAATAGTGAGTTCAGCGTTCCAAAAAGGAAACGGAAGCTTCCTGGTCTAGATGCCCCGAGGCACGGTTCTTGATAATATTTTCTACCTTTTTTTTTTGATACCAAGTCATGAAACGAACGAGTGTAAGCGACACCCCTATCCATGACAGTCGCAGGTTGCAGTGCTACTCAGAGCTTTAGCACTGCCACTGCGTCAGTTACCCTGTAACATAACTTGACAAGTCCCAAGTACCTGTAATTTCAACTGCAGCAGCCTTACTCATTCTTCAAAACCGGAACGCATTAATGTGAGCATTACTGTTTAGCGGCTGAAATAGGCAAGGCGGTAATATTTCTCTGGACGACCTCAATTACAAGGAGCTCTACCGCTGTTGAACCTTTTTCTATAATATAATTAAAGGCAGAATAGCGTTTAGCAAATCGAGATGTCCGAGGTAAAACTCAATATCAGTTATTTAACTAATTATAGTGAACTTCACGAAAGAAAAAAAACAATGGAAATGTATTAAGACTCGATTACTATCAAGGCCGATGTCGCCAAAACTCGCACATTTGATATTGATTGGTCGTAGTTTCAAATTTAAAAAGAAATAACAAATTCAAGTTTGTTAATACAATTTAAACTTTACCCTATTGGCATATCGTTGAAAGTTCAATACCATCAATACCTATTATTGCAAGTTACGACATTTTGATATTATATTGAAATTTCAATCAATGTGCTGTCATCTAGCGGTTAATTGCTGAACGACGAGGAATTGGAGTTATTAATTTAGTTCTCCAAAAAAGAAGCGACCATATTGCAGGGATATAAGCTTTACTTTCGTTTCTTGTAACAAAACAAAACATTTCGATAAACAGAAAATTGATAATTTCTTAAAATACGTCTGTCCGATGATATGAAATACCACGGGTAATATATAGCTGGACCAATAAGCTATCATTTTTGCACTGCAAAACAGCACAATAAAGCATTTTTCTTCGATTTTAGAGAAATTGCGAGAAATTGACGCAAACATGCCGTACAAACTGAAAATGGCGGACTGAGCTCAATTATGCACAACTATGTCTACAGTTGGCACGCGTGTGACGCTAACTAACCACTTCTTTGTTCTGTGGGCTGGCATGTCCGCACATGAAGTGCTGTTGTGAATTGTATGCATCCAGCAGTGTCTATTGTGTACAATTTTGCATCCTTCTAATATTAGTATTAAGTGAATTACTATAGCAGTCTATGTGATTGTTACATAATGAAAGGAATTAAAATACAAGTGTGGGTTTATGCAATGAGCCGTCAGGTGCGTTTCATAAAAACGTCACACGAGTATTTTAATGCCTAGTTATGTACAACTACTTGAACTGCTTTATCTATGCACATATTATAAGCTCTCTATGATTTGTTCAGATGTAATAATAGAATCGAATTTGATGTTATTATTATTGCAATAATAACATTTTCACAGATAAGAAATTTGTTCTAACAAACAGTTTATCTTTATGCTGGTCGTAATTTTTTTTTTTTTTTTTTTTTTTTTTTTTTTTTTT